ATAAATCCTTTCCAAATGCCACTGTGGGGCCCCGAGCCAGACACTGTACATCAGAGTCATTTTTGTATCAGAATATTCTACATTGATTTGAATTTCTCCTTAAACACTTATTCCTTGGAGAAAGACATGCAATCACACAGTTAAACGATGATGATGATTGGTGCAGGGCAGCCGATTGGTTATGACGACCGTCCTGTCAGGTATCGCAGCCGACAAATGAATCCGGAGGGAACGAAACCCCAGGGCTCCTCCTTCTCCTCAGAGTTAATTGCAATTCACGGTGTCACTTTTCACGGCGCGGCGGCCGTCTCCTGAGTGCAGCTCGTCCAATTATCTGTTGGCGGGTGATTTATTTGGTCACTTGGTTTCTCGTGCGTCCTCCGTTCCTGTCCCACACACGTACACTCTATCTTTCACCACTTCATCATTCTCCTGATCCTTTACCTCCCTGCTCCTCTCTTCACCATTTCATGCTCCTGCAATAATTGTCCTTTTCATGCAGAGATTTGGGGGCAGTATAATTTAGCTGCTGCCTTCAGGAAGCCACGGTGATGTCAACACTGGGATCAGAATCGGTTCTTGGACACAGAGCACAGTTGGAAAATCAGGCAATTCTGGCCTCAGATGAGATTCTTCGCAATCATTTTGTAAAGACGAGAAACACAAGAAGTAGTGGTCTTACCATGGTTGACCACCTGCGAGGAAGAAAAAACTACTTTTAGCTAGGGCTGCATTGATCTGATACTCATGATCCGTATCATTCCGGTATTGGTCCTTTGATAATTTTCCGAAGACTCCATCAGGAACAATACCGATTTTTTTCGCACATTTTACAAATTACAATACGGTGCGTCTGTTAGCTAGACTGGCCTGCATGCAGTCCAGATCTGGTTTTAAAGGTTAGGCTTAGTTCTTTGTTCTTAACAGGCACTTTGGGGTTCAAAAAAATTGCATTTTTGTCGAACATTATTTTGTGATGTTCATTATAGAATTATGGAAGCCCCCGGGATGCCAGTTGAAGACAACTGACCTGATCTGCAGAAACAGGCTTAACCAACTTTAAATTGCAAGAAGTAATACTCTCTGCGGACGCTGATTGAAGTGCATGCTGGTATATTGAATCTTCCAGACAAATACATTTTCCATTACATCACTAAACAACACATTTGAATTTTCATCGTATTTTTTTTATTTTGAGGAGAAGCGTCCTGTCTGGTAATGGGGTTTGTAGGACCGTGGCCTCCCTAAAGTAATCAGCTCATCCATCTCCTTGTCAGCAGCATTGACAACCTCTCTGGCTGCGCCTTCTTCACCAGCCTGACCTCCGTCACCTCCTTTTGGTTGGTTCTGACAGGAGGAGATGTGCACCATTCATGGTGAGGTGTTTTCTTCTGCCTGTCGTTCCGCTCACAGCTGCATTTACAGCCCGCAATGTCTGACCCTGGCTGTCGTGCGTACATACATCGGCGGTCGAGGGGAGTCCCCCTCCGCCCCCCCACAGCCTCCACAAAGCTTTCTACAGTCCCCTGGTTTCTCCTGTCAGGTGCTGGTCTGCGTGAAGTCTACAGAGCAGCCATGCATGTCTTCTCTTCATCACGGAGACGGTCTCCGTCTGCTGCGCTCACTCGTGCTCCTGCAGCTTGATGCCTAATCCATTTAAGAACCTGCAACTTTATTAGGTCTGAGGTGCACACTGTTTGCATGAAGAAACAAACCAACTGAGTGTGTGAGTGTGTGTGTGTCTGTGTGTCTGTCCACTGATGAAATGAATCTATTCAGGCAAATTCAAAACACATCTCCCTCAGATTTAGAAGATTAAGTATGGATGCTGTCGTTTGCCAGCTGTGACATCTTCAAACTTTTTTTTTGGCCTTTTCGTGACATTTGTGTTGGAAAAAAAAAAGAAAGAAGAAACATTTGTTAAAGGAGAAGATGGAAAACAAAGAAGCCGGCCAAAAGGAGTCCATTACGTAACGGTACGTGTTAGAACTTTGAAAACAGTTCTCGGAGAAGCCATATTATGTTGGTGACATTTCACAAAAGCAGACTCAATGATAATGCACGAGTAGAGGATATAAATCAAACAAGTGGCTCATAATGAAATCTGTAGTTTTTCATGACAAACTCGGACTCCTCGTCTTCGTCCTCATCCAAGTCTTTCCTTGCGAGGAGTATGCAGTACAGTTGTTGCTCCTTTTATGTACTGCAATAGTTTCCTTACTTTTAAACATCACTTCCAGTCTAGCCTGATGTCTGATATGAATATTAATCATTATATCCACTGGGGGCAGTGCAGAGTTCGCTTATTTCCGGGCAGCATCAGTTTTTCACACAATAAAAACATGGTGACAGGGAGGAGGTGGTGATGATGTTCTATTCCTGTTGTTCCTCAGTTGTCTTCTTCTTGCTGCTTTATTTTTATTGTCGTTGTTCAACACTGCCCCTCATGGTTTCAGGTGGTACTGCTTTGTTTATATAAATGTGTCCACATTTTGCGAGCTCTAAGAAAAAGTGTAAAATAGCATGGATTCGTGTCCACATTTTAAGAAAAAGTGTAAAATAGCATGGATTTCGGATGTTAGCATGTAGGCAAATATGGTAGTGTCTCACAAATCATGGCTTGCAAGATGGTAGGGACACACTTCACATGATCTGGAAATCAAACAGTTTAGTTTTTAATGGATACTGGGTCATGAATTCTTTTTAAAAGATCTGTGTTTTAAGAAAAAAAATGGAACGTGGGGATGACAGAGTCGAGCTCTGAGATCATTCGTTAACGTCAAATGAAAGGAAAATTATTTTTCTGAGTGAAACGGTTCTGTGAATCAGACCTCCTGCTGTCAGCACTGAGGCTGCAGTGTCTCTCTGCATTCTGGGATTCACAGAGTGATGAATTCTGGGTATTTGTAAACTCATTTGCGAATCCTACAGAAAAACTGGGTTCTCATTTGTGAAAATGAGCAAAATATCAAAATGACCACACAGTGTTTTATGCCTTGTTTTATGTCGTGTTGTACATTTCCAAGATGATTTGGTGCAATCTGTCTTGTTGTTTCGGTTTTCATGTTTCAAAACATAAAAGAAATCATTCTGTCCATTTGCTGCATTCGCTAAATATCTGTGTAAAAACGTCCGCAACAGAAACGTCTTCAGTTTTAATTTGGTGATAAAAACTCAAAAGAACAGCTGGTGAAATCAGATGAAACATCTGAGCTGCGATTCACAAACCGCTGGCTCTCGTCACGTAATTAAATTAATCCATGTCCACGTAATCGGTTGCAAGTTTGACTATTTGTAATTTTCATGGAAATGCTGGAATTATTCCCAGGTTATATTTTTAGTTACCAGTAGGAAAAAATGGAGCAGCTAAATTTGGGTCTCTCCCGAGGTGCGAATGCTGGCTTTGAACTTCATTTGCATTATGAAAGAAGAATCACATCATCAACATATATGTTGACTTTTGCAGCTTTCATCATTTACATTTCCCATTGTTTAATTTTGTCACAAAGTAATTAAAGTAGATCCTTTTGTCTAATTCTGAAGATGAGCTAACCTGTGGACCAGCTGACAACAAACCAACTCTATCAGTTATCAGTTCATCTCAGATGACCTTTAACCTACAGACCTCAACTCAAATCTAAGTCCTTGTCCGTTAGTACGATGTTAGGGAGCAGTTTTTGAACGTGTTCTACGTTGCATACACGCTTGATTATGCACATTCAGGAGAAGTTTCTGACCCTTACATACAATTACATTCAGGAAGTCTTGTTTAGAATATTAACACAAAGATTGTCCAAATGACATTATGTACAATAAATAACTTTTTTCAGGTTAATCAGATAATATATTTGTATGCATGTGCACAAAAAAGTCAATTTGACTATTTTCCCCCGTTAAAGGAATTTTAGGCGAGTCTGCTCAGTACATGGACAACGCTGTGTAGAAACCTTATATTTATCATTTTGAATGACATTGCTGTATTGTGCCCTGAATTTCCCAAAGTGAGGGGCGGGTCTCGCTAGGAGGCACGGAGCTGTTAGATCTTTGGAATTGGTTGGAATTACAGTGTGGCCAATTGAAAACATTACATTCATCTGTCGTCTTTAGGGAGTTTCACAGTGACCGAAACCAACTACGGTAGACAACGGAACAAGGCAGTGGATCTGAAGTGTCATTTAAATGCACATATTCAACGTGAAAAATCCAGAAATGACATAAAACGGCAGCAGAAAGTTGTATTCCACTACAGAGAGACACCATCTGTAGGAAGGAAAGGGGGGAAAAAAACTAGAGTTTACTCTGTTTTCTTTACACCAGAGTGAGTTTTGTTTGCACAGCTCACTGCACGTGAAACACAGATACGAGGCTTGGCACCTTCACCGGCTCTCACAGCTTGGGAACGCTGCATCCGTCATGTGGAGCTCATCCCTGTCCTGTCACTTTGAAGCAATGTGTTGGATGTGTCGAGAAAACACGGAGTCGTTTCTCCAGCTGCAGAGCTGCTGATGGAGGGGGCGTAGGGGATGGGGGAGGGGGGCAGCATCAAACGTATGAACGATGTGAAATGTTATGAGACCAGGTGTAACCCAGCCAAGTCAATCAATTTCCAATTAAAGACCTTCTCCGTGGTCATCAATAATTCTTTTTAGCGCACAAGTGGCTTTTTAATCTTTCCATACAGTTATAGATTTTCAAAAATGACATTAACCGCAGAGGCAAAATTAATTAAAATATGTATGATGGATAAGGGGCTTTTTTATTCAAGAGAAGAAAAAAATATTTCATTGATTTTAATGGGTTTGAATCAAAGTGTTTTTTTTTTTTCCTTCGCTCTCACTCATTCCTCAAGGGAAAAAACTCCACAGATTTATACGCTGGCCTTACACTTGCCCCTGATTCAGTATTTATTTCTCAATTTCCTTTGAAAACCCACAGAGAAACTCTCCTAAGTATCAGACTTTATTGTGTTGAAGCGTTAAAGGGAGAATATATAAAGTTTTGCGGCCATTCTTCTTGCCTGTGAGTTGTTTATTGTTGTGTCGGTTCTGTTGGACTGGATGCAGAAGAGAGAGAGACAGCGGCGCATTAGTCAACTCAGGGGGGAGATAAGGAGGGCTGGGTTTCAAACCAACAACTGACAGCTGGCTTGGTGCAGAGAAAAGTGATGGAGTGTGTCTGGTGGTTGCTTACACCACAGCTTTGCCATCGCTCTTCATGTGCTCATTGATTAAGTTGTCCTGGCTGGGTTTTCACTGGGCCACTGCCCATCCTGGGGGCCAAAACACACCTGCCCGGGCCTGTCAGCTGCTTAAAGTTATGGCATCACAAGAACCCCCTCATAAGGCACCTCCATTGTTTTGAAATGAAGGCACATCAATTTCACAGGCTCCACTGCCCGGCGGATGATTTGTGAGTGCCATTATCCTCCGGAATCGCTCTGGAAAATGGCTGCGGCGAGAAAGGCAGGAACTGGTGAGGGAGGAAATAGCGGAGGAGGGATAGACAGGGAGGAAAAGACGAAGAGATGGGGAGACGCTCCGTGAAAACGCTCCATTGGCCGTGTACGCATCCGACAAGAGCAAACACAAGGTCGATTAAAAGGATCATTTTAAAGAGGAGACGAGGTTTTGGTAAAGAGATGACAGTTTGATTTTTGTTTTTTATAAGTAAGGAGGAGGAGTTAAAGGAGGTGAGCCGTGGGGGTAACAGGTACATTTACAGGAAAAGAAGGTCTACATCCTGGAAATGACACACTGTAGAATACAAGACCGGTTATTTGGTCCAGTGGGTTCAAATTCTGGCTCGTGTGAAACTGAAACTCAACATCAAAAGTTCCAAGGTGATAACACTTTCAGACATACAACCAATTAATTATGGGTAACATGTTGCTAGGTGACGGAGAGAGTTGCATTTGTGGTCGGTTTAGTGTAGGATTTCGGATTACTCGCCAATTGGGATTCTCTCAAATTTCTGGTTTGTCAAATGAACAGTGTAGCCCAGATACCATCTGAGGGTGGTGTCATGTGGCCCACTGGCTGCTATAACAAACAGATGAAGAAGTTATTTGACTGGTCTGCCGACAGTGAGCGCAACAATGTCCAGTGGAAAATGGAGCTTGGATCTTGCAAAAGTTGTTTTCTCGTAACTTAGAAAACTATCTGAGATATTTCGAAACCCCTCTGTATTTTAAGTTTGTGTTCATTCAAAAGAGTGATTAAAAAAATAGAATGTGGCCCCTGTCTTAACCTTTTCATAAAATAATAAAACACGCTCACGTGTTGTAACCTAATAAAAAACGCTGACCGTGGGGAATCATCATTTCAGACCCGACCACAGCGGAGTTGAATGAAAAGTGCATCTTGTTAGCAATTCTCTTCATCTCCCCTCATCCTCTGACACAAACTCGGCAACCAGAATAAGCAGATTGCCGATAAGGGAAGCTCATTAATCAAGTCCGCGCAGCGCCGGAACCTTTGGCTCGCCGTCCTCTCCCCTCACTTTGCTCTCCTCTTTGAGCCAGAACAAAAAAAAAAGGGGGAATCTGTTTGGAGGCACGGCGCTGCGCACAGGCTTTCATAAGTGGAGCACAATGTGTGGTCAAATGTTAAAGTTATCAGCAGAGAGCAGCAGTGAACGAAACTCTCCAACGCCCCGCTCCCATACCTGTGGTGAAGGATTTGAGTTCACCGTCGGAGGCCACGATGACAGAGCACAAAGCATTCTGCTGCGCTGAGATAAAACCAACCACACGGACACAGGGGAAAGTAAATATTCACTTCCATGGAAGGTAATGGCTATTAATCTGGAGGCTGTGAGTATTCTGACTTCCAAAGGACCCGAAGGATTACAGCCTGTGAAATAATTATATACCATTTATTTTTACTTTTAGGTACAATACATTTGGGTAGTAAAAATTAGAGCGTTAACTAGAGAAATATATATATAGTTACTAAATGAGCAATATTCACCATTGTTAATTTTATTATCCTAGATTCACATATTACTTCAATGAACTGGATGAGGGAAAGTGAAAGTGAAAGTGAACGACTTGTCATTGTGACACAGCTCACCACTGCACACACAACCAAATGGAACCTCTGCTTTTAACCCATCACCAAAGTGAACAGGGGGCAGCAGTGAACGGGGGACGGTGCCATGCTCAGAGCAGCTGGTGGACTCGAACCTAAAACCTTCCGGACCCAAGTGCACTTCCTTAACCACCAAGCCACCACTGCCCCAGTTATGAGTTAACTATGATAATTAATCTGCGACATTAATTCTCTCACAAATGAACTGTGAGGTAAATCTGTCTGTAAAGCACTGCACGTTAAAAACACAAGTGCTGCTTCTAAAGGTGCTTCAATGACTTGTATTGAAATTAGATACTTGACAGAACAAGTACTTTTGTCGTAAAAAATAAAGGGTCAGCTCAACATAAAGTATAAACAAAATGTTATTTATTCCGTTCCTCCTGAACATGTTCTATCAATTCAGGGTCAGCTCAACACAAAGTATAAACAAAATGTTATTTATTCTGTTCCTCCTGAACATGTTCTATCAATTCTGAAACAAAATTCTACTGCTCCATAATTAGTCAGTGAAACAGGAGCATGAATCCACTTGTACTTCAGTACTTCGACAACATACCTTAGAGATGAGGAAACCTGACAGGGTTGCCATTAACCTTCATTCATATCTGGTCCAAAAGAGATCACTTCTACTTTGGAGGTGCGCCACACAGCACATAATTCCCCTTTATCTCTTTCAGTCGCCACATAAACGCAAACAGATATTTTTAATAAGCTGTCACTGCTGACGTACTACGAAAAGACAAGGCCAATATCTGCCATGTTTACGTCCGATAAAAGGGATTTCATGGTTTCAGTTTGAAGGCTGAAATCCAACAGGCTTTGTTCAACTTCAAAAGTGACTGAATATCATTTGGAAGGATTATAATAAAGAGCAGATTATAAAAGAACCTTCAGGTCGTCTTAAAACTAAAACAAAAAAAAAAGTGTGACAAAGGAAGTGAAAAAGCAATTACAAATTTGGCAAAAGATGAAGACCAAGTGCTGTGACTCTCTTTCATGACTCCAGAAAAGGGCAAATCATACATTTAGTGACATTCTGCAGCCTTAGTTGTGTCTCTGGGCTTTAACTCTTTCTTCTTTCTGTAGTCACCACACATTCTAAAATGAAAGACAACTTTATCATGTGATATTATTATTTTATTTATAAAAAAAATAAATTAAATAAATTGCTTGTGTTTGGTCTTGCCCTTTGGCTGGGATTAGCTTCAGCGCCCCCTGCTATACTTATGTTTGGTCTTGCCCTTTGATAGCTGGGATTAGCTTCAGCGCCCCCTGCTGCAACCATGCAAAGTAATAAGTGGTAGATAATGCATGGAAGGAACCTGGCTGACTTTCTTGTTACCAGGGATATTTCACACCCAGATGGTTGTAAGGTGTGTCCTGAGGGTCATCACACCCACGCGGCGGTGAAAAGACAGCACATCTGTCATAAATGAATTGCACCGTGTGGGGCTAAATGCTGGAAGTGGAGGTGTCTCGAAAATGGGTTTTGGTGTCTTTCTGTGAAATGTTAGCGCAGCTAGCAGTGAAGACCTTTGTAGCTTCGTACCTCTGCGACCCACCTGTCTTGGTGGAGTAGTTTTGTGTCCCCAAACCTTCGCTACAAAAACGGCTTCTTCGACCACCAATTCCATGGTTGCCAAAGTGGTTGATGGTGCTCAATCTTTGGCTCTGCAGCTAAGGTAACAAACCAAGGCTAACACTGATCTCTGGTTGGAATATCTGCGGTAAATAGAACCTGCAGACTCTTTTGGTGTCATTGTGAGACCATTTCCAGCTTGTTTAATCCTAATTGAGCAGATTTCCACACCACATGTTTACATTTGTGTAGAAACACAAAGATCAAGGTCAGCGTTGGTTTTGGCATGAGAGTATCTGGACTGGAAACTCTACGACGAGTGGAAGTTAGGTTCCGGTCCAGATCTGCTTCCTGCACTGGAATCAGTCAGTGAGCTGTTTGCCAGCGAGCTCTGGGATTGGCAGCAGGGCTTTGTTACCGCGGTTGAAAGCACTCTAATATCACTGCTGTTCAAGCACTGGCTCCAAATGACGTGACCTGTGCTTGGGTGGACTTTTATTGCTTCATTTTTGGGGCAGTTTAAACACGCACATTGTTCATCTTTCACGTGAACACAACGACACACTCGGTGGATTTAACATTTTCCACGGCACCTCGAATCTCCATGCTTCAGAGTTTTCCCCTCATATTGTAGACACACACATCGTTAATCTTGGGTAAAGACTCTTCCTTCTGCAGGGTTCTGAAATATCAGTGACTGCTCAGGAGCTGTGACCAGTGAGCGGGACCTCCATTCTCTTATTCTGCTGCTCTGTTTCTACTCGGTGACAGGACGACACGAGAATGTGCCTCAAATGATAGAGAATCAGTTCCTTTCTCCATTATTTGCGCGCACTAAAAGAACCTCAGTCTTTCAGAAATCCCAGTGTGCTCACACTCTTGTCATTAAAGCAGTGGAGCGATCGTGAAATAACGTCAGGAGCTCGCAGCGACGACTAAATCTTTTATGATGAATTTGAACTCTGAAGATGAATCTGTGCAGAGATTACGCTGCGTTATTCAAGGTAATTAATTAACAAGGTCGTGTCGACAAATTAAAAAAGAAATGTGTCACGCAGAGGAGAAACTATTATTTATGTTTTGTATTAACCTATCGCTTGAACGTCGGGCATGTTTGTCCGACTGTTTTTCCTCGTCCCACAAATGTCACTTTATCATAAAAGTGAGAAACCAATGAGTTGAACCGAAGTCACATTCATAAAAACGTGGTATATGAAGTGACATCACGACTGTTTGACCATAGAGAGATGTTGTACTTTTCAGACATGGGAAGTCGGAAACGCAGTGAGAAAATCTGTGGTAGTGACAATGGTTTGCCTAACGGGGAAGCCAAAAATTGGGATGAGGTGGAAGACGTTTTTTGGAAAGAATTAATAAAAACAAACACGACACGCTCTGTTGTACGACGGAGGTGTCGTGACCTTGCAGCTTTGACCTGCTGCATTAAAGTGTTTCCGCTTGGTCTGAGCCAGCATTCATGTCGGCCCTGAGTCATTGAACCTCCATTCATTTCTGTAAATTCCTAACTAGCTGACGTAGCACATTTGAAATGTTATTGAATTGATCATTGGGTCATCTGTAGTTTGTATGTTCAGGGTTGAACAATGTGAAGTTACTAGTAATATGTACAAACCACTGTAAAAGTATGAGATTAATTAAATGAGCTGCAATGCTGCCATCTAGTGACTTTCACGTTAATATACAACTGTTTGTCCCCAAAACAATTTTTAGGGCACACATAATTTGATGAAACGCCGGCGTTGGGTTATCAAGTTTTCATTATCAAAGTAAAAAAAAACTATAACGATTCCTACAGATATTATAGTATATGCCAATATCGGGCTGATAATATCCGTCGGCCGATATTATTGGACATCCCTATAAATAAGTAAAAACATTTAAAACCCACTGTAGAATGTAAAAATGAATTGTAATTTACTTTACCCCTATATCTCTGCACCCTATGTTGGGAACCACTGAATTAGAGGTTAATTGTCCGTCTGGATACTCAGGTTTACTAGGTGACTGAATGATTAAGGACTGTGAGGAAGCAGCTGGAAATTCAACCTTTCATTTTTTTTTTAATCTTATCAATATCCAATTAGCATTCATGTCTCAAACATGGATATCAGAAAATTGACCGTTAAAAAACAACTACAGCTGTTAGGTTGTAATGACCTATAACCTTTCATATTTAATATTAATTCAAGAGTGTGACGACCTGTTAACGACTCGACACGACACGCGTCAGTTTGAACAGGAACAGCCATGTCAGAGCCTTGAAATGGGGAAACCTCCTGAGCAAATAACCCTCCTCCCCTTTGTAATTAGTGCAGTCAGCTCCTTGTAAGGGCTTTGGATGTGGGAGGTGGGGGTGTGGAGGGGACACCGCTGCTTGTGTCGACCCCAGAGGGGCGGAGTAAACTTTCTAGTCTAATATGAGACTTTGAAAGTCATGGGATTTTTGTGTTGTGTCAGTAAAGTGATCGGTCACATATTTCTGGATGAAGGTTTGTCTCTAAAACCAACTCACAGCTCTAAATCACAAATGTCAAACCTAAGGCCCGCAGGCCAAATCTGGTCCACGCCAATTCCGTGACTGGCTGCCTGCCAGTAACTTTTTTTGTGTGGAAAAACTCTATACCATGGATGCCGAACTCTCGGCATGGCCGCCACTTCCTGTCCACAAACAACTTACATGTGGCCCATGTCTAGAGTGGCATTAATAATTTTGCGTTTGAATGATTTATTATCAATGTCTCAATTTAAAAACGCATTAGCTAAAATTGACATGTATCTCCGGCATCCTGCACTCACAACCACGTCTATTGTATTATCAGGCCCGTATGTCCTGTAAGAGACGCAGAAATGGGAAACTAATGCACCGACCTGCATAATAAGCCGACGGGCAGCCTTTCAGACTGTTACATAATCAAGGCTTTTTCACTCAGACACATCATAACCTCCCCCGGCCCTCCACCCCCCGGCGTGGACGTGGGCTTCACGCTGATAATAAACAGCGAGCGTAGATGTCCACGGAGATCTTTGACCACGTACGAGGATGGAGGAGCAGCTCCTCCGTCTTTTCCAGCCATAATGCTGATGTTGCAATGAAGCAACAGCCCACACTTGTGAGGGGGAGCCCTGATGGTTGCAGGCAGGGAACACCAAGTACTAGGAAATTGCATTACAGACACTCCCCCCTCGGAGTATTTAAAAATGGAACCTCTAGAAGGCTGCTTTTATTGCATCTGCTCTTGGAGGAGATTTCTCTGAACTGCTGCTGACGCCTCACGGCGGTACAAATGTATCTTTTTTTAACGTCTATGAGACCGTTAAGGCCGGACTCTGGAGGAGATCTCTTTGGGATTCAGAGCTAATCAGACATAAAGTCATCAATTTCATACATGGCTGCTGTGGGGTGACGTTTGGATAAGTAGAAAAAATTGTAATATGAACGGTTTAATCTCCGAGGAGACCAAATGGAGCTCTGAGTGCTGGGCTATTGTCATTTTCCAATTGTCACCTGCTGTAATATATTTCTATGTAAATGTAACGATGTATGTTATATGATTATCATCTGCATAAAAATAATGGATAAAAGATAATTTTGAATATTTTTTGAAAGTAGCAATGGTCATGATTAATGAATTAATCCTAATACTTGTGATACAAAAATAACTTTTTATGAATAACGCTGGACCAGAACAACAAATAAGTGCTGATAGATGTACAATATAATGATGAAAATACATCAAGGAAAATATAAAAATATATATTGATTTTCTGGATTACGTATACTGTAGGTCGCACCAGTCAAAAGAAATTCATAATAAATAAGAAAAAAAACATATATAAGTCACTCCTGAGTATAAGTTGCACCAGCGCCTTCTAGCAGCTGTCAGTGTGAAAATAACAAATATGAACATTTTCAGTGGTACAAGAGTAGAAGATACTGGTACACAAGCCTTTAGGGTTTTTGGATCGTTGGAAGAAACAGCACTACCCACTGGAGAAAATGAGTTTCTCCAAGAGTCAAGTGTTCAACAGTCTCCCTCGGCAAAGAGTGATTGGGTAAAACGCTGGGGACAGCAGAGGGGAGAGAAGAGAGGCTAAAAAGAAGGGGTGAGAAAGAAGCAAAAAAAAAAAAAAAGGAAGGGGTGAGACAGAAGCAAAAAAAAAAAAAAAAAAGCAGCACTGCAACCTCAGTACAATCAGAAAAGCTGATACAAAACAAAGTCTACAGTCGTAGAGACACCGTTGACAGCGTGGTGATACATTAAAGAGTCAGTATGCTGATACAGAGTTTATGGGTAATACATATGGGCCACAGAGTAAAAGTACACATTTTTTACAGCTCCTTCCTCAGCGATGGCTGTGTGCCTCACAGGTCGTCCCTTTATTAAATAAGAACACCCCTCACCCTCACCCTCCTCACGTCCACCCTCCCTTACCTCATCTCCTTGGAGCCAGAGGTGATTCTTTAGAGATTAAGGTGATGGAGTGTGGATAAAGACGAGACCCGGGTCAAGACGTGTTTGGAAGGAACAAACCCCGCCCCGCTCACATAACCTTGGATTTTACAGTCGCACTGGTCCAGATGGGGCCGCAACCCTCAGCTATTCCCAGTCAACTATGTCTCATCTTTATGAGAAGTCCTTTACTGTTGACGAGCAGGGAACCAAACAGCTCAAGAAATTTGAAACCACTTTTCGATTGAATCTCAACGATTTATATATATTATACTAATAAACACATTAACCTTCAGCCAATCATTAGCCGTTAAATCCACTTATGTTTGTGCAATCTTCCTCCTATTACCACGATGAATGACATCCAGAGGTACAGAGTGAGCATTAAGAAAACACGATTTGAGCGAATGATGCCATGCAGCTTTTAAACCTGGTTTTCTTTGCAGAATCAAACCTCGCTTCTCCTGTTGAAGTCAGCTGTGCCATATTTAGACACAGCAATGCCTTCTTATAATCTGCGATTATTCATAACAGCGAACAGTGGTGTTTAATGCGTCCGTCTGCGCGGCGACATGCTGTAAACACAGGTTGTTATCGTGGCTCTGCATCTCTCCACCAGGCTTAGTGTAATAACACTGGAGGAGCCTCGGGAGATTTTTATCTCTCCATCGGCTGCTCCTGCCTTTCCTGCTGCTCTTGCAACTTCTCCAGTAGTTTTTTTTTTTAAGTTAAAATCTACATTAATTCTCCGCATTGTAAAACGGGAAACAACGCTGCACTAAGTGGCGTTGGTAGGGCTTGGTCGGAGGAATTTTTGAAGTACTACTGTACGTATTTCCTACAAGGCTCTTTGGGGGCTGAGATTTGCATTTAAACATGAGGTGCAGCCTGTTAGAGGTGTGATGGGTGAGGGTGTTGCTGCAGTATGTGATAATGGTCTCACAGGTCTATGGCGTTTCATACACGGTGCATACATGGGAGTCGACTCTGTTCACCTTCATTTGCATGAGAGGAAAAGCCACCATCACTTTCTTTGATTGCCATACCAGAGGTGTACATTTTGTATATATTTATATGTATATCTCAGGAGGGGGACGGGTCTACAGGCGTCCAGGGCTGTATAATTTATGAAGTGGGGACAGAAGCCCTAAATCCCAGGCCGCCACGGTGATGCTTCCTTAACCTTTAAACAGCATCTGCGGCTGGTGATCATGTATGACCTTTGCACAATCCCCAGGAAATACATTGTTAGGATGATTTCACCCCATATACGATTTATATTTAACATTTAATGTCAATCATCTGAAAACCGAGAAATGCAGCGTGAAGGTTAAAAAGAAGAGAAAAAAAAATTCCTCAATAGCCTCCACCCTAAAAGTCATAGCAGGATATTCTCGACAGGAAATCCAATCCCATCGCTCTACCGAGACGTGTATAAAGACAAAATATTTTCATTCTATCATGTTAAGCTAAACTTAACCTCATCACATGGTCTGTGGTGGGCTGGCTACACCATTTGTCTGTACCAGGACTGCAGTGCCTAACGCTCGCTCTGGTGTCTGTACCAGGACTGCTAACATTGCTAACGATGGCTCTGGTGTGTATAATGATAGTCTTATTCAAACTGCCTTCAGAAGTTGTTGAAAAACAAATACTACCTGACAACAAAGCGACAGAGTTTGTCTTGTTCACTGCCGTCACTCAAACATGCCTTTGTATCTATTTTCTGGTCAGAATGGAATGAAAAGATGCAAAACCATCTTTAGGCTAATCAAAGGTGTTCACCAGTTCTAGTGATTTTCCAACAATTAGCAAACTGAGCGAAGTGCAATAAAATCTGTTATTTTTAGAAATGCTCATTTAGCCAGTAATTGAAATCAAATCACAAAATGAATCCCATTTATCATGGCCTTAGTTTTATATCATTAAATAATGACTTTTTGCTAATTGTTTTTATTTTCATAGCCCATTAACAAGCTGGTACATCTGGCCTTTGACTACAGCTCCAAATATATCATTTGCAATTCACAGGTCAGATTACTCTGCAGAGATACACAGTTCTTATTGGTTCTGGCAGTGGGAGCCATGTTGAATTTAAGCGTTTGGCAGATGAGCTGCTGACGCCTCATCTTCTAAGTTGTACAGCATACAAGATGCTTGTATTCTCAACAAACTTTTAATGTACACAAATGTGTACAATAAAGATACTACACTCCAATATAAATGACCCGAAGTAAAGTCCAGAGACGCAGCATATGACTGTGGTTCTCTTTTATCTGTGCAGCGCCCCCATTGTGCATATAGGACTACTGTGGATTAACAATACCGATTGTTCTGCCATAAAAAAGAATCTTATTTTATTGTATTAAAAATCAAGTGAAAATTCCAGTTAAAGCATTGAAGTGGCACTTATTGGAATTAACTTATTTCCCCCTCTTTCTCCTACAGTAACCATGGAGATCAACCACGAAGCTGGAGCCTAACATCTCCATCCTCTTCTTCTGATTCACATTAATCACACACTCTCTCTGAATATGCCATCCAAGTGTGAAAAGGCCCCACGGACCGCTTAGCACCTGCTGTAAGTACCAGCACTCTCCTTTAACTCACATCCTCGGCTCCAATCTCTTAATGACTCATCTACGTCCAAGTTTTGCCTCATCTGTTCGCATCGTACGAGGCGTCCCACCTACGAACGCATCACGCCGGATTTAGAATGTTCTAGAATGCACATGAGACGTGCCTGACTTGATAGATTATTTGTCCCCGCTTGGGGTTATTGCTTGTAATGACTCTCAATTTGTCTCCTGAATCGTGGCAGATAAGAATTAATGTAGAGGCGTACGCACATACACTCAAATACACACACTTCTTGGATTTTCAATTTACATTCCACCTCTGCAGCAGAGGCACTTTAGCAGGTTTGGCAGGTACTATCTTTTTCTAAATGTATTGGTCATACATGTAAAACTATATTTCTTATATATTCAGTTTTTGTAACTCTGGTTATAATTGTGTTTATGACTAATTCACTAAAATTAATTTTCTGGACTATAGGTCGCTCCAAAGTATAAATCGCACCACCCACAAGATGCATAATAAGGAAGTAATAGATAATAGTACACAAGCCTAGAGTGCCCCCTAGCGGCTGTCAGTGTGAAAATAACATACGTGAAATTATATAGTTTAATACATAAGTCGCACCTGAGTATAAGTCACAAACTCAGCCAAAGGATGAAAAAAAGTGCGACTTATAGTCCAGAAAATACGGTATACAATAAATATTTAGAAATTAAAATTCTTAACGTATGGCAGGTTTCAGCAATAACTCAGATCTGTCCAAAAGTGTTTACATTTTTGCAGAATTATCCAAACAGACAAAACCACTCGAGGTCAAGATTTACTTTTCTTCAGACCAGTTGAATAGAACAGTGAAATAAATAGAAAACCTAATCACTGCCCAGAATTTTCTAGGAGTGTAAATATCAAGTCAGCGTTGGTTTGTTTGTTTGTTAGGTGTTATTGTGTTCTCTCTACACTAACAGCATCTCTATTCGCCGCCCACCAAAAAAAGCCCAGGATATAAAGTCAGCCAACTGCTTTTCATTTAAATCCAATTTCAATACCTTTTTTTTTTTTAAATAACACGGCCTCCTCTGTAATGTGTTGTCATGTTGGAAAGATATCGTTTTAACGGCTTGTGTACTGCGGTCTAAAAGCAGCTTTGGTGCTGTTAAAATATGTGATGTTTGAGCTGCTGCTAATTCGTTCACATGTCACAATGACACTGTAATTAAATCATGCAGGCGTTAAGAACGTGCTGAGAACGTACCAAAAATGTAGGGCCAGAGAACCTAGCACATTATTATCACGTTTTTCAGTGAAAGCAAACAATTATTTTATTAGGCATTTACAGTTATTTTTATTTTCATTATCATAATTATTTTCTTTTTTTGTACAACATTGCTCACTGGGTCCTACAAAAAAAAATAGGTCAACAAAGAGTTATTTTTTTGGGAATTATTTGGGGTGGGGCTAAGACTGCTGCAGCTCCTACATGAACCGGGACAGAAAAAAAAAAAACTGGTGGGGCTGAAAAAATGGAGAATATTAAATTTATTTTTCAAAACAAAAGTGCTCAAATACTCTTTAATGTATTACCGTAGAAATTCAGTTTCAGAGCAAACTTAAAGACTCTTGTTTTTAGCCATTTTAAGCTAACTAGCTTACACTTTTTAGCATTTTATAAGCAAATAGCAATTACTTCTCTGTAGTTTTGGTTACTGTGTGTACTTTAGAGACTGCCTCTATTAGCATAGTTACTTCTGGCATCTAAATTGTTTTCACAGTTCACATTGAAGGTAAAATCATACATAAAGAGAGAGAGCCTCAAATGTTGGTAGAAACTGGGAGACGATGTTTAGATTCTCAGATGTGTCCCAGTGAAGTACATTACAGCAGGGATGTTGGACGATTGATTTGACTGCGGATCACACTGAGAAGATTCAGACGCCACCAGATAAGATGTCATTCTCTGCTGCCAGACAATCTCTGCAGGCAGAGAAAGGACGCCCCGTCGAGCCACACTCCATAGCTACAAGCACACTTCTCACAGCCCACAACATGTGCGACAATTACCAACAGGCACGACAACAAACGCAGACATGTACGCACGAACAAACAAGTCACACCGGGGTTTGATGCTGTTCCATCAAAACCGCTGTCAAGTGCTCGCTCTCCGTGTTCATCACGTGCTGATGCCAAGCATATCTCAGACGTTACAGCTCTCAAACCTGGGTTTGTGTAGGGACGTGTGTGTTTATCTGAAGTCATCCTTCTGTATGTCAGCGTTTCCCCCCGTTTCTCTTCTTTCCTTTTTGCTTTTGCTCGCACTACATCTCCAAATACGGCTGAAATTGACAATACCTGTTCAAATTACGAGGGCCTTGCTAGTCTTTTGAGTTTGACAGCTGTAGCAACAATCTTCAGTTACAGTAGTAGTCTGAACGGTGGTCTGCAAGGATGGACACTGTGTATTTTCTCCAAGTGGAAGACAAGTGGCATAGGAATATTGCCACATTGTACCCTTTATGGTCCATCCCTTTTAATCATACCCAATACCTCAACCTCAATTGCTAGAATCGAAAACTTCTAATCTCGGAGGAATATTTTCCTTTGAAATTTAGTTCACTGTTTGTATCCCCAGGTCAAGTAAAAAAAAAATTGTCTAAACACTTTTGTGTTTTTGCCACAAAGTTCAAACATGGTCCTTAAAAAACATACACGGTTTGATTCGTCCACTGATGCTCCTGCAGCACCTGCTGTTGCTTTTCCAGTTTGTTGCCAAACATTTAATTTTTTGTGCAGGTTCTCTTTTGCGGCTCCTGCAGATTTTCTTTAGCCTCCAGTCCGAAATGGACTGAAATGTGCAGCCCAGTGTGACAAGATGGGAGGAGGACCTGGTGTTCAGAGGCGTTTGGTCGGGGAGCAGTATTGATTGCACTTAAAGTGACAAGATTGAGGAGGCCCCACTTTGACACCTTTTCCCCCACTGCCGCCAACAGACAAAGGTGCGGACCAGAAGGAGCAGCGCTCATTGATTTTCTGCGAGCATGAATGGGCTGAAAGCTATGAATCAGTTGTCGGAGGCTGTGCCGCTTGAAAATAAGTCAACAATTTTTCCATAGCGCGCCGGTAATATAACTGACTGGCGGTTTGATTTAGAATGACAAGCGAATACTGCCTTAATGAATGGAACTCTGCGCAGGATGAGAAGTGGAAAAGTCCTCAGAGCTTTGGCAAAAAAAAAAAAAAATGAAGTATTAAGCTTCAGTTGTCCGTTAGATTTTCTCAGTGTACACTTCACGGCTGAGGCAGAAAGCTGGTGCGATTCCATCACCTCCCCCACGTCACCTTATCATCATCCATCAGGTGAAATTGCTTTTTTTTAACATAAGGCTTGTCAAGTAGGAATAACAAATGTAGCCATGCAGAGCAACACATGATTACAGGGTAATAATGCCCTGAGGTCAAGAGATATGTGACCTCATTCAGAGCTCAGGTGGCTCGGTGGGTGAGTGGAGAAAGTGGGAATACTAGTTCCTTCACCGCAACAGTCACCGGGGGATGATTCTTCTTCTTCTTCAGAGGAGGAGGTTACTGTCATCGACTGCCAGTTGTTGGGATCTCTGTCTCTGCAAAATCATTGTTACTGCATGTAATTAAAGCTGTGGTTTCCACTGTGGTTCCATTCATGTAGGTCATTTTGGAGGTGGAATTCCCGCGGGAGTCTCAGAAAGTCGTGGATGGAAGAAAACACTTGGGCTGCGTCATATATCGCTCTTTCATCTTAGCCTTTTTGTTCAGCTGTGTGAATTCACTCTGTTTTATCAATTTGAGCAAGTGTTCCCAAACCCCCGTCCGGGGGGCGGTGATGGTCCGTAGGTCATTTGGTACTGGGCCTGTGCCTTACTTTTTTATTTAAAGAAAAGATCTGGCAATAGGTCATTCAGACTCCGATACTAACTTCTGATTTGTCCAAAGCTAAAATTTGAAAAACTGGGGATTAAAAATAAATTTGTACAAAATTAAAGCCAACTGGAGGGGTGGGTGGGCAAAACGTTTGAGAACCACCATTAATGGTCGTGGATGTCTTTAGTATCAGATTAAAACCAATTAGAATCAGTCATCGTTCCATCCCAGATCCACCAACGATCCAGTAGGTCAATCCTTCACCGAACCGACCCACGCCAGCATCCACTTGGCCACTAGACCACAGTGGATACTGCAGCTATTGACGTCCTCCATCTGCTGTCATTGTCGCCGCCACCACAAGTTGGCACCTGTAGCAGAAACATGCAGCTGTGTATCATAATGACGTCAGCACGGACGAAATCTAATTTTTTTTCTCTCTCCTTAAATCGAAGGAAAAAAAAAATTAAGCAAAGCTACAAAACCTTAGCCTCTGGTGGAACACAACTCCAAAATATCTTTCCGCCAAAAAAGTCGGTGCTATTTTGAGCCTCCCTCGTCCTGCGTTTGCTCTGATTGATATTGTGCAAATCGAGCACAATAATCTTGCAGGAAATTGCACGATGCCTTTTCCTGAGGTCTAATGGAGAGCTGCACTCCCAGACTGAGTAGGAGGAAGAATGAGGTTAAGCAGAAGGCGAGCGAGATACAGGAAATACCTGCACGGCATCTGTAGAAACACAAATGTGGTCGTCCAGAGTTTGGCGTAGGGATGGGGGAGAAAAGAGGGAACGAGGAGCTAAATTAATAAGTAAACAACAAGATACAGTAATTGAATTGAGTGCGAGGGGAGGGGAGGAAAAAAAATGTTTGACATGCTTCAGTAATCTCAGTTTCTTCCTTCCCTGCTGTGCCTCTTTCCTGCGTGTCGCCTGCAGGTCTGATTCCGTGTGCCGCATAGCCAATTACCCATGAAAATGAGAGAGAGAGAGAGAGAGAAGAGAGGGAGAGAGAGGTACGGGGAGGGGATCGTCGCAGTGATTATTACACTCTAAACAACAAGCAGCTACTGCATTCCAGGGCAGAAGTGAGCCATTGTGCAAATTATTT